AATTTCACAACCATATATGAAACAACTTCATTAAAAAAAGTATTATATGAAACAATTTCACAAGATTAAACAATTTCATGAAAAATTTCATAAGATTAAACAATGAAATCGACAGATGAAGGTGGTTTGCACGGTTTACACAAATGAGGGCGGTTTTCATATGATCACTCCTATATATATATAAAAGCCAAAAAGATTGGGACAGTTTATCAAAGGATTGTATTGAATATGAGAATTGTCAATAATCCATCGCCAATTATTGACGGATTAGTGAAAATTTAAGACACCATAATACACCGTTGCAAAACCGTCAATGACTATCGTCTTAGGGGCCTATCACCCTTCATTTCAACATGTAGTAGTAAAAAGAGCCATTGTACTTGGCATTTTTAATTAAATTGTCCGATATCATTTCACTACTAAAAAATCTGGTTTTTTCGACGCAAAATCCGTCGGAAAAACAATTTTCCAACGGATTTCCGACGGATTTTGCCGTCGGAAAAACCCCGCCGCTAAATGCATTTTCCGACGGAATTTCCGACGGATTTGTATTTTCCGACGAAAATATCCGTCGGATATCCGTCGTGCAATTTTATAATAATATGTTATCCATTGCTCGGTTTAATTAGAAGGAATATAAAATGGGATTAGATTTACCGACGGAATTTCCGTCGGTAAACTTTTTCCATTTTCTTCCAAAATAATAACCAGTTTTTATTTCAACAATATAAATAGCATTTTTCCGATGGATTTCCGACGGAAATTCCGTCGGTAATTATATTTTAAAACTTTTTTTTCTAATTTAAAATATGAAAATATTTTTTATTTTTAATAGACGGAAAATATTTACCGACGGATTTTCCGTCGAAAATTCGTCAGAAGAATAATATTTGGTTTGCAGTAAGAATAGAATTATTACTTGTGTAAATAAGAATAAAAAGTCTCGTATTTAATGAATCTTGTTGATTATATACAGTTAAACCTAAAAAGCTGTGATGATTTCAACTCCCATGTGTAAGAAAACATATCATTAATATCAATTGCAATTGTGTGAAAGACGTTGATAAATAACACCATTATCGTATTTTAATCTAATAATTGATCACGTAAATATTTAAATATCCATAACCAGTTATTACGTATACGATTAATTTCCAACTTAAACGTTACTAGTAATTGCTAAGAAAAACTCTGATGAACGATGAATAAACAAACATGTGCTACACTACTACAATATATCTGTGATTAAAATCTTCATTTGATGAACGCAATTAAAGTTAAACTAATTTAATATATCATATAAGATCTTCATCATTTGATAAACGTGTGGTTGATTAAACTAGAATGATCATAAATATCGTATATTGTTTGTTTATTCACGATTCTATTCGCACTCTACGTTACTTTATTTTATTTTATTTTAATTTCGACAGATCGAGTTAATAAAATTCTAGAAGTTTTTTCTTCCCAAAACGATCATATGCCAATCACAAAATATGTAGTGGACCAATAAGAATATAAGATGCTTAATTAATAATAGTGTAAACTACACTTTTGGTCCATATGGTTGAGTGGTTACCACTACCAAACAGAGCTAAAAATATGAAATGACGTTAAATATCATACATTAAACTAAACAACAATTATTCCGACCAATTTAAAGTAGCACATAATTGTTCCAAACAAAAGTAAATTGTTTCAAATAAACAGACGATATTCAATAAGATGGCGGGGGGAAATGTTGAGATTGACTGAGTTGTCTGACCAAATCAGTCATATCTTCAAGTTGCTTATCATGCCCTCATCCTTATCCCGTCGTCGTTGATTTTCTTCCTGTAAATCTCTAAGTTCGTTCCTTAAGGCTACAATTTCCTATAAAATAAAGGAAACGTTATAATATTTAATATGAATTATAAACTAAATCGATAAAGATCATCAAAGGAAAAGAGGCACATACCCGACTCTCTGAAGATGATGGACCATCTTGTGTGTAGTTCCCAGTCAAGACCCAATTGGGATCCTGGTTGTACCCAAACCCAAATAGACGGTCTTTTTTGCTTCCCCCAACCGCTTGCTTCCACAATTATGTATCAACTAAAGGATAGGTAGATGGATCATTGCCATATCTTTGGGTAAGAGCCATCGAATAGTCATCTTATGTATGGTTTAAAAAAGATTACAAGTCAATTTTGACAGCATGATGGCTGTAAATGGAGAGTTTCCAAAAGGAAAAAAAAATAGTGATACATACGAAATTTGTACCCAAAACAATCCTAAAGTTTGTCCAACAAATGGCAACCCAAACTAAATATTGATACATACAAAATTGCAACTTAAACAATCTTAATGCTTGCACAACAATTAATGGCAACCCAAACTAGATAGATAGTTGCATAGCCAATTATAAACATTAAAATAGATAGATACTTATTATGATCTGGCTACACTTAGAGTTCACGTACCCAACCTATATGAATCTCGTCTCTATTTTTAAAACTTTTAAAATTGACATTTCTTACAAAAACATCCTGTCGTAGATCACTCATTAGAGAAAACAAAATCTAAAAGCAAAATCCAAAATCCAACTATTTCGACTTGGAAAACTGGATTTATAGTCTCGTTCCTACTTATTCGTTTATACATCTATCCTCTATCTGCATTAGTCGACATAGCTACAAGTTTACGAAATTGTGTTATTAAATAGTTGAAATATACCTCAGTTATAATTATAAATACAAGTTCTAACGTTTGTACAACAATTGGCAACGCATTTCTAACACAAAATATACCTCAATATATTAAAGCACAATACGATCCATTAAAGCCCACTACGATCCATTAAAGCCCAATATGGTCCATCAAAGCCCAATATGATCCTTTAAAGCCTAATAGAACCGTTATAGCCCAATATGATCCATTAAAGCCCAATACAATCTATTAAGCCCAATACAATTCATTAAATCCCAATACAATTCATTAAAGCCCAACTAACATCCACTAAAGCCCAAAACGATCTATTAAAGCCCAATAGAACCGTTACAGCCCAATTAACATCCATTTAAACCAATACGGTCCATTAATGCGCAATATAATCCTTTAAAGCCCAATACGATGCACTAAAGCCTAATACGAACCATTAAATCCCAACACGATCCATTAATGCCCAATACGAATCTTTAAAGCCCAGTACGATCCATTAAAGCCCAATACGATCTTTTAAAGCTCAATACGGTCCATTAAAGCCCAATACGGTCCATTAAAGTTGAATACGATTCTTTAAAAGCCCAATAGAACCGTTAAAGCCCCAACTAGCATCCACTAAAGCCCAATAGAACCGTTAAAGCTTTATTAACATCTGCTAAAACTCAATACCGTCCAAAGCCCTATACGATCCACTAAAGCCCAATACGATCCACTAAAACTCAATAATGTCTGTTAAATCCCAATACGGTTCATTAAAACCCAATACGATCTTTTAAAGCCCAATATAAATCGTTAAAGCCCAATAGAACTATTAAAGCCTAACTAACGTCCACTAAAGCCCTATAGAATCGTTAAAGCCCAATTAACATCCGCTAAAGCCTAATAAAATCTATTAAAGCCCAATAGAACCGTTTAAAGCCCAATATGATTTTTAAAGCCCAATACGATTCATTAAGAATACATATAATATTTTACACATACACACACACATATATATATTTATTATATATATATAAGTTTGAAAAATGAAAAAAAAAATCAAATGTTTTAATTTTTTTTTAAATCTTGAATAATTTATTATCTTACAACCTAGATCGCGTCAAAAGTCGTCCACGTCTTTGATGTAGTATCACATGTGTATCATATGTATTGAAAAAATAGTATCACATGTGTATCATATGTATTGGAAAAATAGTATCACATGTGATTGTTTATGGTAAAAGGGTGTTTACGCGTTCTCGTAAAATGAATGTGTTCTCGTTTGAACTCTATATATATATATATATATATATATATTTATTTATTTATTGTTGGAATATAATTTATATTTGGTGTCCTTGG